CCTGACTTGGAGCCCGTCTATCTGCCCCAGCTCTGGGAAGCTTCTGGGTCCACACTGCAGCAGGCATTTCTACCTAGTCTCCCGCCACCAAGTAGCTTGCCACTGCTCATAAACCCCATTCAAATGCTCAGTAGCAGGGCCTTTTAAAAGAGCCATGTCTCTGTATGCCATGAGCACCGAGCCTACTTGGAACTTTTTTTGCCTGCAAATAATGACAGAGACTTGTTATTAATTATAAAAGCTTGGCCTTAGCTTAAGCTTGTTCTCAACTACCTCTTATAACTTAACCCATTTATATTAATCTACATTCTGCCACATGGCATTATTTTTCTTTTGTCCCATACCTCCTGTTTTTTTCTCTGTCTCTCTCTGGCTAATCCAGTCTTTCTTTTTCCCAGAGTTCTCTCTTTTCCTGGAAATTCCACCTGTTCTCTTCCTGTCTAGCTAGTGGCCATTTAGCTCTTTATCAAACCAATCAGAAGGTGCCTTGGCAAAGACACATTTTTACAGGGTAAACAAATGTTCCCCAACAAATGGGAATCAATTGGACTGGGGGCATAGCTCACTGTTGGAGTATTTGCCAATCATGTATGAGGCCCCAGTGAGCCTCTGCACTGGGGTGGGTTGGGGTGAGGCTGGCTTGAGGAGAGGGGAGCAAATAACCTTTGTTTCTTACAGGTTCTCTCTCTTCCCTCCACTGCTGTCTTCTCTCTCTTTCTTAGATAAGGAGGCTTGGGGATATAGCTCAGTGGTAGAATGCTTGTCTAACATACACAAGACTCTATCCTCAGCATCCGACAAACAAAATCCATGAAAGACAATAAAGCACTGTAGTATAGAGTTGAAAGCAGGATGACGTGTTTAAATTGTGACATTTTATCCTCAAAATTTGACACACTGGTCTGGAGAGGTGGCTCGATGATTATGAACACTGACTGCTCTCCAGAGGATGTGGTTAGATTGCTAACACCCACATGGTGGCTCACAATCATCTGTAACTCTATTTCCAGAAGATCCAATGCCCTTCTGGTGTTTCTTAGGCACCAGACACTCAAATGGTATACATTCAAATATCTGGTATATATATGCAGACGAAACACCTGTGCACATAAAATAAATAAAAATATATAAAACTGACATTAAAGCGGATCAAAAAACGTAAAATTAGGGAAAGGGAAACTGTTTAGATATTCAAAATGAATGCATTGTTTCATAGAAGTGGAAGGAACGACATTGAAGTCCAAAAGTAGCAAAGAAAGGAGAAAGTTAGAAGCAGGCCCTGATCCTGTACTTTTGTTTTCTTTCTTTATGGTGTTGGGGATAGAGAACCTTGTGCATATGAGGCATGTTCTCTCTGAGATACATCCCTAGCCCTTGGGCTTGGGGGCTGCCTTTCACTATATAGCCCAGGCTTGTCTAGAACACTCCACCCTGCCTTTACCTCCAAGGGGCTAGGAGTTCCAGGCATGTACTGCTCTATCCAGGTCCTTGTTCAGCTCAATTTGGAGAGTCATGTAGTGAGACTTTATGAGTATAATAATTTAATTTTATGTATATGAGTGCTCTTAACTGCTGAGCCATCTCACCAGCCCCTAAGCTTATTCTTAACACAGAAGTTTAAAGCATCACCATGGGTTCCTTTTCTGTGTTTATTTCTAATAGATTTGTAAGCAATAAAAGATTTTAAATGCATAAAATAAAAATTTCAAACAGCTGGATGTGGTGGCTCAGCCAGTAATCCTAGCTACCCCAGAAACTGAGGCAGGAGAATCACAAATTCAAAGCCTGCATGGGCTGCAGAGCAAGTTTAAGGCCAGCCCAGGGAATTTAGTGAGACCTTGTCTCAAAATAAGGAACTTTTTAAAATAAAAGTAAGACTGACAATGACAGTGTGGCTCGATCAATGTTCGAGCACTTCCCTAGTGTATCCAAGGACTTGGGTTTAATCTTCAGTACCAATAAATAAGTAAATTGCTAACAACAGTTCCAGAAATGTCTCATACACGATGTGCATTATATATGCATGTTTCATTTATCCATCACAAGTCTGTCACTACCTGCTGTGTGATAAGTGTTGGTCTTAAAGATCAGACAGGCCCCGATTTTGTCTTTTACCACATAGAACTTATGTTCTACGTCCTTTCTTTCTATTTTTATTTCACTATCTAGAAATAACGATAACAGTTACAGATTTGATTTCTTTACTGTTTTAATACTTGAATTTATTTGATCCTCACAATGACTCTATAAAGTGGGATAATCATAATTCCCATTTCACAGATAGGGAAAACTGAGGCATCAAAACTAGCTCATTTACCCAAGGTACATATCTGTTTAGTAGTATGGAGGGATTTGAAGCCATTCAGTCTGGCTTCAGAGTCTCTGTCTTCTCTTTCTCACTCCCTCTTCCTGCACACCTTAGCAAGTAAAGACTGCTTTACGCTAGATAATAGTTTATAAATCACAAAGTTTCTGAAGTTCACACAGAGTTGGTGTAATGCCTCCCTACTTTCCAACTGTGTATCACTGTGCTGTTGCCCATTTTTCTTCATTTTTATAAACCAATAGTTTTAGTACAAAGGTGATTCTGAATGACCCCACCCTTTGGCAGTATATCAGCAGTATATTTCTCAAAGGTCCCTTTTGCCTCAACTCTCCCCATTTTTCTCTAAAACATTTATTTTTTAAATTTTTCGAGACAGGGTTTCTCTGTGCAACAACAGCTCTGGCTGTCTTGGAACTCACTGTGTAGACCAGGCTGGCCTTGAACTTAGAGATTTGACTGCCTTTGCCTCCCAACTGCTGAATTAAAGGTATGGGCCACCACCTCCTGACTTCTCTAGAATACCTTCACTACCTTAACTGTTCACTATTATTCATTTCATCACCACACACCCTGTCTGTATGGGCAGAATCGCAAACAGAAGCTTGCCTATGATCATCGCTCACACAGAGGCATGTAATTGGCTTGTTTTTGTCCCAAGTCAAAAGCTCAAAGTCACGAGGCATTAATTTGATCTTTCTCAGTGGAGACTTCCTATTCCAGCTTCATGATGTCTTTGCAAATCTATAGCTACTCTGTCTACCGAACAGAGCATGGCTCCTGATCCTGGTAGAGCTTGACTGTGACTCCAGCCATTTTTGTTCCTTGATATGTGCTGGGATCTGAACCACGAGGGTCGATGCTGTGGAGATAGTCACTGCTTTCTTAGTGTGTTCCGATATTGCAACCTAATTGAAAGGAGTTTGCTGATGGAACCGGCTCTGTGCATGTGATCCCGTCCATTTTGTAGAATGCTGTGCCCAAGGTCCTGCTGAAGGTGGTGCACTGAGCTGTGGTAGTGCAGCTACATGGCTGTTTAAGTGCCCCCTTGCCTGATTTGCAGCCACACGCTCCTGATTGAGCATCGGTAAAGAAGGTGATATTTAATCCACCAGCCTTTTCATTTGATTCTTACCTTGTTTCCATGTGTCGCCTGTTAAATAACACAACAGTCAACATCTTTGTGCTTTAATCTTAGTCTTCATTTCACTGCTCCCCGCAAACCTCTAGCAGTATTAGAGAATCAAACCTAGAATCTGTCTGTGAGAGTTGTGGTGTGTGTGTGTGTGTGTGTGTGTGTGTGTGTGTGTGTGTGTTAGTGTATGTGGGCACGTATGTGCCATACCATGTGTGTGTTTATATATATTTGTGTGCACATATGTGCTGTAGTTCATGTATAGAGGCCAGAGAAGTTTTGGGTTCGTTCTGGCCTTTGACTTGGTTGAGGAAGGTCTCTCTGGTTTCAGTTGTACTATGTACTTCAGGCTACCTGGCTGAAAGCTTCCAGACAGTTCTGTCTCTACCCTCCATCGTGCTGTAGGAATGGTGGAATTACAGATGTGTACTACATTAGTTTTTTTTACATGGGTTTTGGGAACTGAACTTGGGTTGTCAAGCTTTGGAGGCAAATGCTTACACATGCTGAGCCATCTTCCCAGCCCAAATCCAGGATCCTGTGCCTGCCAAACTAGTACTCTAGTGCTTGCACACACCACCACGGAACTACACTCCTAGTCCACAAGTCTAGTGTTAGGTCAGACACACACCACCACGGAACTACACTCCTAGTCCACAAGTCTAGTGTTAGGTCAGAGTACATTTTAAGGTGGAACATGCAGTTATCTGGACAGTGGGTGTCTTGGTTAGAGTTTCTATTACTATGATGAAACACCATGGTCAAAAGCAATTTGGGGAGGAAAGAGTTTATTTGGCTTATACTTCCACACCATAGTTCATCACTGAAAGGAGTCAGAATGGGAACTCATACAGGGCAGGATCCTGGAGATGCAGAAGCCATGGTGGAGTACTGCTTATTGGCTTGCTTTCCCTGGCTTTTTCAGCCTGCTTTCTTACAGAACCCATGACCACCAGCCCAGAGGATGGCACCACCCACTATGGGCTCGGCCCTCCCCCATTGATCATTAAATGAGAAAATTCCTTACAGCTGCATCTCAAGGAGGCATTTCCTCAGCTGAGGCTTCTTCCTCTGATGACTCTAGCTTGGGTCAGGTTGACACACAAAAGCACCCAGTACAGTAGGGTGAGAGAAGTTGCAGGTGGCTCTGGAGACGTGACTCAGTTGGTAGAGTGCTTTCTTTGCATGCACAAAGCCATGAGTTTGATCACCAGTACTTCATAAAAACTGGGCATAAGGGCTGGGGAGATGGCTCAGTGTACACAATGCTTGCCCTGTAAGCATGAGAACCTGAGTTCTGATCCTCAGGAGCACATAATGAGCTGGGCCTGCTGGTGTGCTCTTGTAATCTTAGCACTTGGTAAGCAGGGACAAGAGAATTGCTGCTTGATTTCCTACCGGAAGACAAGAAAATCTACATTGTTTCTTGGAGTCTGGTCCTTTCTATGATTCCATTGAAGATCACAAGAGATCTACACTCTTGCCATGATGTGCTTCTGAAGTTCATCACTCAGTGTTAATTCCATTCTTATGTCTTCACAGGGAAGCTTTATGGTGACGTTCCTTATATAGAAGAAAGACACAGACATCGGTATGAGGTATGCCTTTCATGTGAGTTACTGAGGGATGTGAATAATTGGTGCAGAGAATCCCAGCAATTGTAAGTAGGCCCTTTGGGAAATGTGTCCAGCTTCATAATATCTGTAGGTGAGGCTGCTGTATTTCCGTAGCATCTCTCACTGTGAGAGGAAGCTGTTGTGATAAAAGAGTAGATGATGGGAGAGCATCACAGAACCTGAGTGCAAACAAATAGACATGGCAAAAAGACCATCCTAGACCAAAGCAACTCCCCATTCTTCCTTAACCGCTGCCTCTTATTTCTCAGGTTTGGGAAAGATAGATAACCTCCAACAAGGAGCCAAATGCTTCTGGCACAGGAATGAGTTTCTGGATCTTGTATGGTGGATTCTAGCTTTCAGGAACCTCTTCTGACGTTCACATTGAGCTTGAGGCTTAGTGTTCCGTGACTAAGAGGAGTTAACTGCTGAGATTGCAGCAGACAAAGCATGGCATGTGGAACTGTGCATGATCATTCTGGGATTAGGCAGCCAATCTGATGTCTTTGACTTTGAAGAATAGGAATCTTTGCTTGTTTTTTTTTTTTTAAACCAATTTGAATGAGGGCATTTATTAGCTCAGGTCACAGGCAAACTCGAAACTTGGTACAACCAGGACTCCTGTTGTCTCCATAGTTCTCTTGGCCTTCCTTTTCTATGTGTTTGGTTTGCCCACAATGGTCTCTCTCATCATTGTAAAATGATTGCCAGCAGCAACTGGAGTATCATGAACTTTTCTTCAATCTGATTAGGTCACTTTTATTTGTCTCTTAGTTTTTTCTTTCTTTTTTTTTGTTTTAAGACAAGATCTAGAATGCCTATGTAGACTAGGCTGCCATCAAATTCATAGAGATCTGCCCGGTCGGTGGTGGCTCATGTCTTTAATCCCAGGACTTGGGAGGCAGAGGCGGATCTCTGTGAGTTCGAGGCCTGCCTGATCTACAAGAGCTAAATTCAGGACAGGCTCCAAAGCTCCAGAGAAACCTTATCTTGAAAAAAAAAACCCAAAAAGCGAAAAACAAAACAAAACAAAAAACCAAAAAAAAAAAAAAGCCCTCAAAAAGCAAAAGGATTTTTTTTTTAACAGTTTCAGAGGTTTGGCCCATTATCATCATGGTGGGGAGCATGGCTGCACATTTGGAGCTGGAGCAGTAGCTGAATGCTACATCCTGGTTCACAGACTGAGTGGGGCAAGGAGGAATACTGGGCCTGGATTGAGCATTTGAAACCTCAAGCCCACCCCCCAGTGACACACTTCCTCCAATAAGGCCACACCTCCTAATCTTTCTAAACTTTCTCAAATAGTGATAATGACTAAACATTCAAATATATGAGCCTATGGGGGGGCATTCTTATTCAAACCACCACAATGGGTTAATTGTATTTGTCTTTGTCAATTGGAGTCAGCTTCTAGAAAGGGATAGCAAAAAGTCCCGAGATCAAGGGAAAGAGGAATTTCAATCCTCACTCAAACTTGTGATTTGGGGTCCTGGGGAGATGGCTCTGGGTAAAGTGCTTGCCTCATAAGTGTGAGGACTAGAATTTAGATTCCTAGCACCCACATAAGTGCTGGGAAGTGTGATGGCCTGTCTATTATCTCAGCACACAGCTGGCTAAAGCAGGATCCTCGGGGCAAGCTGGGCAAGCTCCAGGTTCAATAGGGGGCCCAACCTTAGTAGACCATGAAAGAAGACACCCAGCATCAACCTCTGGTTTCCATGTGCGTGCACGCTCGAGCACATGCACCCGTATCCATGTGTACCCATAACATGCAAATACGCTTACACACATGCACACTATACACATACACATTTTAAAAATTAGAATTTGGGGATAGAGAATGTATGTTACTTTCTTGTTGCTTTGTAAAATACAAGAGAAACTTAGGGAAGGATTTATTTTGGTTCATAGTTTAAAGAGAAATAGGCCATCATTATAAGGAAATCATGATGTGGAAATCCGATATAAGGTACCTGATACCATTTTGACAGCAGCTAGGAAGAAGGGCGGGAGAAGGGAAAGTAAAGGGGAGGGAAGAAGGGAGGAATGTTGATATTCAGCTTCTTTTCTCCTTTTTTCCTTTTTATTTAGTTCAACGCCCCTAACCATGGGGTGGTGCTGCCTATATCAGGATGGATATTCCCTTCTTAGTCAGCAGCTCCTTGGAAATGTTCTATACACATGCCCAGAAGTGTGTCTCCCCAATAATTGTAAATCTAGTTAAACTGACAATGAAGATTGGCCATCACAGATTGTTCAGTACACTTAACTCAGGGAAGCAGCAGATACAAGGATGTCTATAAGCAGTTGGTATCAAGGTTCTGATTCAGAATATTTGCATTACCACGGTCCTTTGTTTGGAATCCTGTCTCTGAGTGATACAGCACGAACCTCCCAGGTTCATGTGACGTGAATTAGACTTCATATTTCAAATTCATCGTGAATTTAAAATGAGATTTGGGGTGTTGAATATAGGAATTAAGTAGAGGGTCAATGCAATGGAAAAACCTTCCAATGGATGCAGGACCTCTTTATAAGCTGTTTGAATTTCTCTGTAGTTCAAAGCTTGACTTTCTTGTATTTCCAGGTAAACCCTAACATGATCAACCGATTTGAGGAGAAAGATCTTTGCTTTGTTGGTCAGGATGTAGATGGGAAGAGGATGGAAATTATTGAATTGACAAGTAAGTGGGTTCTTTGTTTCTAGAAAGCTTCATAATGGCCTAACACCATTTTGTCATACACAGACTAATTTGGGATCTAGTTCATTGTCCCCTCCTCCAATTCCTCAGTCCCTTGAAATACATACAAAACTTCGGAATGCGTGAAAAACACATTGCATATAATCCTTATCATTTTGGAACCTGTTAGTCTGATCTTAGCATCAGTAGCTGTATTTTCCCATCTACCAGCTGTAAAAGTAGTAGGCAGCTTTGCCATTTCCCCCTCTCAATCCCGTGGCAGCTCTAAATGCTCTGCAGAAAGCAGACAGCTCTTCAACTGGTGTTCTTGCTTTTCTCCTTGCTCTTGTTGGTAACGATGGACATCTACTGTATGTGTACCCCAGATTGTCTACTAACTCTTTCTACTGCTTGTGCTTGAAGGGCAACCTTGGTCCAGTCATTGAATTTTTAGACACTAATCATTCCACTTAGAGTTTTTCATAAGATCAAACAAGGGGCTGGAGATGTAGCTTTGTTGGTAGAATGCTTGCCTGGCAGGCGCAAAGCCCTAGGTTTTGTCCCCAGCACAGTATAACCTAGGCATGGTGGCACATTCCTGTAAAGTAATCCTGGCAGGAGGAGCAGAAGTTCAAGGTTATTCTTGGGTACACATTGAGAACAGCCTAAACATAAAACCCTGTCTTAAAGCAAAGAAAACACAAAGGATTAGACTTCTGTTGAGGAAAAGCGCAGAAGAGAGTCTGTAATCAAAGTCCTTGGAAGGTTTTGATTCAGGGAGATTGCTTTGATTTAAGGACCAGCCTGGGCTTGTAGTGAGTTTGAGGCAGGTTTGGGTTACATGAAATAAATAAGTAGCACAGAAATTGTATATGACTAGGCTAGGAAACCCTGAGAGCATAGATCCGAAAGCACACATTTGTTACTGACAAGACAGAAGGCCGCATTCTTCTCATTCAGCCCTACACGGACATAGTGTGCCTGAGGTCCTAACTTCTCTCAGCTCCTTAGCTTGCCCAGGGGTCAGCGCGAGTGCTCTTTCTCTCTGTAGTTAATACCTTTTCCACATTTTTAAGTGATTAAAAAACTTCAAAAGAATATTTGTGACATGAGAAAATAATTATGTAATTATGTGACATTTGAGTTTCTGTGTCCATAAATAGTTTTATTGGAGATTGGTATAGGGGTAGGAAGGTGTGACCTTTTTTTTCACTCACCAAGGTCACAGCTGACATTCCTGTGACAAAAGATTAATAAAAGAAAAGAAATGGATGGGGATTTAGGAGGCCCTGGGTTCAGTTCTCAGCTCTGGAAGAAAAGAAACAAATAAATAAAAGAGCAAAGCATATTCCAGTTAGCTCTTCTGTTATTGTTATATACCACTATGGCCAAAAACAACTTAGGGAAGAAAGTGTTTATTTCGTCTTACAGGATATGTATAGTTCATCATCAAGGTAAGCCAAAGCACAAGCTTAAAGTAAAACCACAGAGGAATGCTGGTAATTGGCTTGCTCCCGGGTAGCTTTCTTATACAGCCTAGGACCACATGCCTGGTGATGGTATGGTCCACAGTAGTCTGGCCACCCCACATCAATTAGTAGTCAAGAAAAATATTTGAAAGACAGGACCATAGGCTAATCTCTTGGAGGCAGTGCTTCAAATGAGATTCATCTCCCCAGATGTGTTAAGTTGACAACTAAGATTAGTGATCACAAATCTACCCCTTGTCAATGTGACAAACGTATCACCATTAAATCATAACTTTTCCTTTTTTTAGTCCCAAGATCTCATGTTGATATTATAATATATAATGGTCCAATTTTTAAAGTCTCAAAATCTTTAAAAATTTTAATGCTTTAAAAGTTCAGTATCTCTTTAAAAGTTTAAGACTGTTTAGCTATAGGCTTTTGTAAAATTAAAATCAAACAAAAAAGCAAGCAAGCAAAGTAATTATATACTTTCTTATTTGAAGAGAATAGAACCAGGGTACAGGTAAAACCAGATCAAAGCAAAAGCAAAATCTTAACAGTGTAAAAAAGCCCCATGTCCATAGTCTGGGTCTCATTCATGATCTTCTGAACTCCAAAAGGTTTGGGCAGTCCCACTTCTCTGGCTCTGCCACCTACAGCACTCAACTTGCGTTTTAGGTCCAGGCTGGCTTCCTTCCATACCTGCTCCTGTCCTTGGCTGTTTGTTGTTCCAGAGTCCTGGGGTCTCCAATAATCTGGGGTCTCCACTGCAGCTGGGGTTGCACCTTCACCAGTGGCCTTCCCTAGCTTCTCTTCTGGGATTCGAACTCTGCCATATGGCACCAATCCTCTTCTCTCCATGGAAGTTCTTCAGCTTTCATGCTGCCAAAAAAATCCGTAGCACTGCCAGGTGGTGGTGGTGCACACTTTTAATCCCAGTGCTTGGGAGGCGTATGTGGTGTTGGGGGGATCTCTGTGAGTTCAAGGTCAGATCTAGTTCTAGGACATCCAGGCCTACACAGAGAAATCCTATCTAGAAAAAAAAAAACAAAACAAAAACCCAAAAAGTACCATGTAGGCCACTCTTACACATTAATAAGGTAGACACTGACCAAAATTAACTTAGGGAGGAAAGGGCTTATTTTATCTTACAAGTTACAGTCCATCATCAAGAATACAAGATGGGAACTTAAGCAAAATCCATGGAGAAGTGCTGCTTGCTGGCTTGCTACCAAGCTCACATTCAGCAACTTTTCTTAATACAGCCCAGGCCTGGTGCTGCCCACAGTGAACTGGACCCTTTTGTGTCAATTAGCAATCAAGAACATGGTGGCCCGCAGACATGACCACAGGTCTCTCTGGTGGAGTCTATTCTTTAGGAGAGGCTTCCTCTTCCCGGGTGTGTCTGCTTGACAAGATTAGCTATCCCAAAGTGTAAAAAGTCTAATAGTTTCATGCAACACAGGGTCCTTCAGAAATGAAGACCCAAAGATCCAGGGGAAACTCTTTCTATTCTTAGCTTTGAAGAGGAATAGGCTGTCTTGTGGAAATGCGATAAGGCATTATGGTAAATGTGATCAGGTGTAGTAGACTGAGAGGCCAGCAAGACTGTCCAGATTCTTCTTGGTCTCTCTCTGCAGCAGTCTTCCCTCACAGATGCCGGGCAGAATCCCCTGGGAAGGAGGGTCTTCCCCTCTACCCCACTGGTTTTGTTTTTATGTTTCTGATACAGTCTCATATATTCCAGGCTTGTCTTCTTCAACTCAGTACTGAGGCTTGCCTTGAGCTCCCGATTTCCTTGGCTCTACCTGCCAGATGCTGGAATCACAGGTGTAGGCTACCGTGCCTGGCAAGAATGAGGGTATTATGACCTACTTTCATGACTGGTGATTCCAAGAGTTTATGCTGACTCTCACATACAAAGGCAGGAATTGTCAGAGTGACCTTGCTTCTGACGATGCTTTTAATGTTGCAGTAAGAGAGATGCGTAGTTAGGAAAGACACTTCATGACTTGCAATGCTTAAAATATTTATTATTCAGCCCTTTGCAGAAATACATGAGTGTACATTTCATTTGACAAACTTGAAGACTTGGGGAATTTCTTCTTGATCTGTTTGTTTGAATGAATGTTTTCTTGGCATGTTAATTTTATGTCAAACAATTTAAATGCTCTACAAACTCTTCCTCAAGATATTTTACATTAATTTACCATCAGTCTCCTCTCCTGGGAGTTTCTTACCATCTCTGCCACTGACATTTGGAGCAAGACCATTCTTTGTTGTTGGGCTGTGTGGTTATTAGTCAGCATCCCTGGCCTTTGGTCAGTGGATACTAGTAGCAGACCTACTTCCCCCTACCCCTTAGTTGTCGCGTTCCAAAATAATCTTTACAGAGTTGGGGGAAAGGTCTATCTTCTTGACAGAGTATTTGTCCAGGACGCACAAGGTCCTAGGCTCAATCCACAGTACCTCAATGCCAGGTGTGATGGTGCATGCTTGTAATCCTGGCACTTGGAAGGTAGAAGCAAGTGGATCAGGAATTCAAGGTCATCCTTAGGTTCATTGAGGTCTACTTGGGCTACAAGAGACCTTGTCTCAAAAACCAAACCAAACCAGACCGAACCAAACCCAACCAGCCAATCAACCAGTCAAACAAAAAACCATCTGTAGACACTAGCAAATCAGGAACCTCTTCCTTCCTGATTAATGACCATTCTCCTAGGTCATCAACTTGATATTGAATTGTAAGCTCTTCCTCCCCTTCACACCCCAACTTGTAGTCACTTGTCAAGTGCTACAGAGTCTACTAATGCAGAGAAAGTGTTTGAGATTGCCCTTCCAGTTCCTGTCACCTTAGCCTCACTGCATGGTGGCTTCAAGTCTGACTTGTCCTCAAGTTCCTCCCTGCCTCTAGGTTCTCCCATCTCTAGTACTTTCTAAGCAGGACAGAGCTCTGGCTGTGCAGTCTAGTCATGTGAAATTGTTGGAGAAACCTCTCTGATTGGTTGAATGTGAAGTACGTGTTGAATACTCCAAAATGGATGCCCAAACTGGGTATGGGGGTGCATGCCTGTAATTCCAGGATTTAGGAGGCCAATCAGGAGGATCACTGTGAGTTTGAAGACTATTTGGTTTACATAGTGGGCTCTAGGCCAGCCAGGGCGACATAAAGAGACCTTGTTGACAAATTAATTAATAGCCAGGCATGGTGGCTCATGTCTTTAATCTCAGCACTCAGGAAACAGAGGCTGCTGGATCTCCGAGTTCCTGGACAGCCAAGGCTACACAGAGAGACCCTGTCTCAAACAAATACATAAAATAAAGTGTTAGAATGATGTTAGAAAATATGCTTTTTCTATTCTTTTTTTCTTTCTTTCTTTTTTTGATGGTGGTGCACACATTTAATGCCAGTATTCAGGAGGCAGAGGTATGTGGATTTCTGTGAGCTTGAGGCCAGCCTGGTCTACAGAGTGAGCTACAGAACAGGCTCCAAAGCTACACAAAGAGACCTTGTCTCGGGGAAACAAACAAACA